GCATGGTGAAGCCATCTAGATACCATTTATCCATGCACTGTAAGGGTCAATGCAAACTAGAAGACACCCTACCATTTAGTTTTAGTGTGTTGGGATTTTTACTGATTTTAATGGATTGTTGTAATATGTTTTTAATTATAAATCTGCATTAATTATTTATCCATGCACTGTAAGGGTCAATGCAAACTAGAAGACACCCTACCATTTAGTTTTAGTGTGTGGGGATTTTTACTGATTTTAATGGATTGTTGTAATATGTTTTTAATTGTAAATCTGCATTAATTTCAGGCCTATATGCTGGTACCTACCCTGAGCCTACAATGTCAGAAGGGCGGGATAAAGTTCAATAAAATAAATAAATAAATAAAACAGTAAGGTGCTAATATGGTGACCAAACATGAGATAAGATCGATGTGTGACCCCTGGGCACGGTCCACTTGGACATTCTGTGCAAGCATTAGAAGAGGAAGAAGAAGAGAAGAGATTGGATTTATACCCCGCCCTTCACTACCCAAAGGAGAGCATCTTACAATCTCCTTTCCCTTCCCCTCCCCACAACAGACACCCAGTGAGGTAGGTGGGGCTAAGAGAGCTCTCTGAAAACTGCTCTTGAGAGAACAGCTCTGAAAGAATTTATGACTGACCTGAGGTCACACCAGCAGCTGCATGTGAAGAAGTGGGGACTCAAACCCGATTCTCCCAGATTAGAATCCGTGCTCCTAACCACTACACCAAACTGGCTCTGTTTATTGAGCTAAACAGGAAATTTGTTAAGAGCATGGAAGCACACTTGGACAGGTTTGATGAAACCAACACAGGAGGACTTCCAGGTAAAATTGCTATGTACCATGTGGACATTCTGCCTCAAGGACTAAAGTTGCTTGAACCATCTTCGGTGCTAGGCACTTACAAATTGTTCTATGCCACAGAAGCAGCTATTTGGAAGCAGCAATATCTGACCCACCACACCTGAAGATAAAATGGTTGCTTCCACACAGCTATGTGCATGTGAACATCAGCACACTTTCCCACACATGTCAGGAAGTGGTGGTTGTATCTGGAGCTGCACTGAGCTAGGCATGAACACATGAAGCTGCCTTATCAGGAGTCAGACCTATCAAGCTCTATTAACATCGATGTAGTATATCTGCAGCAGCTCTCCAAGGTCTCAAGATGAGGTCTAAGACATCACCTGATCCCTTTAACTGGAGATGCTGGAGGGACTGAACCCAGGACCTTCTGTGTATAACGCAGAATGGTCTGCTGCTGGACCACATTCCTTATTTTTGCTGCTTCTTTTTTATTATTTTTTGTATTTTTGTGTGTGCGCACACACGTGCTTGCATGCCTGGAAGTCATGGTGACTTTGGCAACCCCTAGTGTGGTTTGGATGTTTCAGAGAGGTGGCTTGATATTACCTGCCTTTGCATCTTAGTCCTGGTATTCCTTGGAGGTCTCCCTTCCAAGTACTTCCCAGGGTCAGCCCTGCTTAGCTTCCGAGATCTGATGAGATCGGGCTTGCCTGGGCTATCCAGGTCAGGGCTCCTTATTTTTGCTCTTGATGGCTGCATGAATAGTCAGCCTGCTCTACGTGGACAGAATTTAAACTGGCCCCGAGTCATTGTGGACTGGTTCCCCCACATCACCACACCTATTTTATCCTGGAGACATTGGAAATTATCAGATTTGCAAGGATCGCCTAGCTGTGCATGCTTCTCTTTTCAGTGTGGTCAGAATTGCGCAGGTCAATCTGCAAGAAGCCACATGTGTGAAGGGCACTGGTTTGTAGCCGAAGATGAATGGCCTTAATGTTCTTTTCGTCTCTTCCAACTCTATGATTCATTATTTATTTTTAAGCTATTTATTAACTGCTTCTACAGGGGGAAAAAACATTCAAAGTGGCCTGCCAGAACACATAAACATTTAAAACACATCTTAAAAAACCACTAAAACAAAACCAGAAAACCTAATAAAAAGGAATACGTTCAAGTCAAATGCAACATAAGGCTGCATTATGACCAATTAAGCCAAATGTAGATCAACTAAATAAACTGAATTAGAACAGTCTGGCATGTTAAAAATAGGCATTCATTAAAACAAATTCAGCAGCAGTCAAATATATTGAGGGCACAGAATAGAATAGCATACAATGCAGCAAAACACCTGGAAATGAAACTCAAAAGACTAGGCAGTGAGCAAGCCATTAGGATGACAGCACTCCATATTTTAGGTGCCACCGTAGAAAAAGCCCTGTCTGTGGTCACTACCACCTCATTTTAGAAAAGGGCGGAACAAAAGGACTAGGGTCTTGGATGGAAATTGGCCTAAGTGGTGGATTTTCTGACCTCAGACTTGATATGAACTGTCCCAAGATACACATGGGATACACAGTAAAGCACAGAGGCAAATTTTTTAAGCAAGCAGATAATGTCAACAGGTGAATTCCAAAGAGATTTTTTTGAGGACTCCACTGAGCCTGTACAATTTGACTTATCTTTTAGGATCCCACTATATTCTGGAAACTACTCCATATAATTTCTTTTAGTTAAGTACACTACTGCAGAATTAAAGTCAAGAAAAACACACCTAGGCCCCGGTCACATGGGAGGTTTTGGGCCAGAAGAGGGACAGATCGGGGGCACAGCAAATGGGCGCGAGCACACCGCAACATCTGGGAAGCGGCGCGCACCCGTCCCCGAACCGGCCCTTCAGGCCAAAAATGCGCTGAAAAAAAGAACCAGCAAAAGAGGAGGACTTACCTGAAACGGCACAGCAAGCGCGGCGGTGGGATCGCCGGCGCGCCTGTCTTCAGGAGCATTCGAGGCTCCCAGCCGAACTGCACTTGCGCATACATGCGCAGCCAGCTGCCTCTCACTCCCTTCTGTGGCTTTCTCCCCAGCATCTGATCGTGCCAGGGAGCAACTACGCGGCGGCTCACGGGATCCGTCTGATCCCGCCGCCGCGTGTTTCTTTTGGTGCTGCTTTACAAAGCCGCACTTTGGCCGCATCAATTTCCCCCCGTGTGGCAGGGGCCCTAATATGCAGTTAGAACTAAAATTTGCTATGGCAATGTGGGGGTGAGGCAGACGTAAAATTCTGGAGTGTCAAAACCTGTTTCTAAGCACCCTCACTGCAGTTAGCATAAGTGTGTCTTTTCTCCTCCTGACAAACTGGTTCACCGACTTTGCAACATCATTCCATTTAAACCAGAGAAAAGCTAGCCATGGGAGGTGCCAACTGGCTAGTGTCCATGCTGTCACTGAACATCTCTTTCCTTCCATCCCAGAGTAGTTTTGTAAGTTAAAAATGCTTGCTGATTATTATTTTTTTTAAAAAAAGGTAAAGGATGAACAAAACAAATTTGTGTGCCTTATTGTTCTTCTTTTGAAAAAGAGCCAGGCAGACTGGTTAAAGCATGAAAAGAAAGGCTAGAGTGACAGATGAACCAGAGTTCATGCAAATTATGAAGCCAGGGTTACACCATAGGTGAAGAATCTTTGTGGCTGCTCATTAACTACTTCATCTCTCTTCACTCTTATTTAAGTAGCTAGCAGTGTTCAGAGCTCTACATTGGCCACTATTTAGGAAGAGGCCACTATAATTTCAAAGTCAATAATTCATCCCTAACACTAAAGGGTCTGTTTTGGAATATCTGAAAGCACTGATTTTTGATCAAGGCAACTCAGTTCAATTTGAGCAACTGATCCGCATTTTTCATGGTTCAATACTTCGGGTCAACCAAATAACCACTGCATGTTTTCCAAGTGCATTCAGTAATCCATCTAGTCACCTCTATCATGAACTGGTTCTTTCATGGGGGTTGGGTCCTGTGGACCTGTTCACCAGCGGCGGTGCTTTCCTCTGGTTCAAGGAACCTTCCCCTGATGCAGAAGGCATCTAAAAGTTTAGGACTTCTTCAGGAATGTATGACCAATCATCTCTCCCCATCAAAATACGCCCACCTCAAACCCCTTCTCTACTCCAAGTGCACAAGTTGGGCCCACAGCCATGGGGGGGAACTTGGGGGCAATGCCCACTCACAGATGAGTGCTGCCCCCTCAGACAGAAAAAAAGAAAATATTTTTTAAATGTAAGATGCCCGTGGTGTTTCCAAAATGACCCTGGGCACAGTCAGGGAAGCTTCAGTCTCGTTTTCTTTTTTCTGGGCCAAAAAATAAATAGGTTTTTAAAAATGCAAAATAAAATAAAACTGCAAAAAATTAAATAAAATGGCAAAATACAAAAGAGAGAGTGTCAGATATTCCCCACCCCCCCACCCCACCCCGGCTTACACAGAAAAGCAGCCAGGAATCGAGTCTCCCTGATTGAAAGGACTAGAGGAGGACTAGAGGTCGCGGCGGAGCTGGAGCCGCTACTTCTGCCACTGTAAGAGGAGCAGCAGGGGCAGCTAAACCGTCCCCCGGATTTCCCCCCACCCCACCAACCAAAACTTTCTGTCTACGCCCCTGGCACAAGTCATCCTTTTGCAAACACAAACCAGGAGTTAATGTATACCAACCCCCCCCCCCCCCCCAATGCATTTTGCTTCTCTGAAAATAGACCACAAAAGGTCAGAACTGGAAACTTCAATCTCGGGATTCGCATTACCAGCATGATAACAGAGGACTAAAATGTGCCACCAATCTCTGATTCCAAGCACAAAAACAACCTTACCTGCCAGCCAAGATCCCTGAAACTGACATAGAGCTCATGTTTCTTGCAAGCTTGCCTCTGATCACTGCTGCTGTTCTCTGAGTTCGGAGGGTGGTTGGTGGGAAGAAAGGGGGGGGAGAGAGAGAGAACACAAAACTGTCATGTTACTTTAAGACACCCAGCAGTGTTCTTATGCTGCAATTCTATAGACACACTGCGCAACCCAGCAAGGGCACCTTGTGATGTTACTGTTTCCACTCGCAGATGACCTCCATGAAAACAAGCATGTCGGACTTGTACCAGATCTGTGCATATTGTGAAAGAAACACAAATTCTGCACCCAATCCTGTTCCAAACAAGCCTGAGTTCTGTGATGCACAGAATTCATCCAAATTAAGCAGTGCTGCCATATTCTCATTTGCATAATTTTAAATTTTATATAATTTCATAATTTGGAATTTTTAAAAATCCACGCTGCAAAAGGTAATGGCTTGGATCCAGACTAACGTTTCCATGGGCAGAGGTCCATGCATTCGTGGAGCACAGTTTTCTCACCTCCCTCCACCTACAAAAGTCTGAAATCCCCCCACCACCACCTTGGGGAGCCCTTGCACATGTGGAAATGTTGGCTTGTATCCAATCCATTACATTCTGCAGCACAAACACATAAAATTGCCCTATACTGAGCCAGAGTCAGGCTATTGGTCTTTCACGGTTGGTATTGTCTACTCTGACTGGCAGCTGCACTCCATTGTCTTAGGTACATTACACATTAATTGACTGGCTCTGGAACTTGCGGTATAGAAAGCAGATGCTACACCACTGAGCCACAGCCCCTCCCCTCTACAGGGAGGGCCAGGTGTTATACACTGATATCCTCCTGACCGTTGGGACTTCTTATTCCCCTATGCGTTTGGGACTTCATTGGACATCTTTAAAGTCTCGGGGGAAGGGTTTGTGGCTCAGAAGCAGATAACGTGTCTTGCATACAGAAGGCCTTAGATTTATTCCTTTCCCTAGCATCTCAAAGGATCTCAGGCAGCAGGTACTGAGAAAAACCTCTCCCTGCACGAGAACCTGGGAAGTCACTGCCAGTCAGAGCTGATGATGCTGAGCTATATGGACCAATGGAATCCCAGGAAATGGACTCCACGTCACCCCACAAGCCCATGCAACAGAACCCAAGTGGCTGCTTGTGTTAGCTTCTCCAGTTGGAATCTCCAAAGCTGTTTGGGGCTGTGTTTAACTGTCCTTCTCACCATCACTCCCACCTCACGGGGTTCCTGGCCCTCATGTGGCTGGGGAGTTGGTGTGGAACAGTGGCAGGTAGATTAAGGCTCCACACCTCTCTCGCCCATTGCTTCCCTTCTTAGAATCATCTCTTCCCCAACTTGCCTCGCCCTAACTGGCCTAGGGCATTTGGTGATCCCCCACAGATTTCCGTTGCTAGCGTTTGTGTGTGACATGTAGCTCTGCCCTGCGTTATGCAGCCAACTTTTGATCCTGTGCATCCCCCAGTTTCCCATGTCCAGTTTCCCATGTCCTCACAAGCAGATGCAGCTCTGTTTGTACCCATATCTCATCTAAGATTTAGACCCATCTTTCTCAACAAAACCTGCACATCTCATGGTTAGACAGAGGGGGAAGCTGATCCAGCATTAGACTCTTCTTCAGACAGCGAACGGAGAGTAGAAACAGTAACGTGAGATGTGGCTGCTTTACACTGGATTGTTTGGGAGGCTGAAACTACAGCGTTGACATTCTGGTATTTGGTCCACAAGGAAATGAGGTCCTGCTTCATAACACTTGTGGGGCATCATAAATTTCAATAATATTAAAGAGCTTGACTCAGTAACGATAAAACACTCATCTTGGTTTCTGTACAAGGCTGAGGAAGCCCCAGAAAAATCAATTTTTGCTTCTAAGCTTATCCCTGATTGGTACAGGCCTCTGTGGCTGAAAATCCATTTTGTTTCCAAGCCGAGCTTGTAAGAAAACTTGGGAAAGGAAATGGAGCTTCTGCCTTCTTTAAAAAGTCCCTGTCAAAGACGATTTGTCTATTAGCTGGGCAATGGGCGAATACACACATAAAGATCTGATCAGATTGTCCTTGTCATTCTCTCTTGCTGCATAGGTGTGTGTTCTGTTATCTCATCTGGTACTCGTTTAAAATATTTCTACACTGCCCCCCCCCCGAAGCCCAAGGTGGCCTACAAAGAAATCTGCCATCAAGACATAAAGTAAAAACAACAGCATCCAACAACAGAGGAAGCTGCCTTCTACTGAATCAGACCCTTGGTCCATCAAGGTCAGTACTGTCAACTCACAGAATCATAGAATGTTAGAGTTGGAAGGGACCTTGCAGGTCATCTAGTCCAGCTCCCTGCTCTCTGCAGGAGCATAGCCGAAAGATAGCTCTACAACATACCCGAAAGATGGTCATCCAGCCTCCACTTGAAAATGTCCAGCGAAGGAGCATCCACCACCTCCCGAGGCAGCCTGTTCCACTGCTCAACCACTCTTACAGTTAGGAAGGTTCTCCTGATATTTAGCCGGTAACGACTCCCTTGTAATTTCCACCCATTAGTTCTAGTCTAGCAATCCGGAGCAAGAGAGAATAGATCTGCTCTATCTTCTACATGACAGCCCTTCAAATACTTGAAGACTGCAATCATGTCCCCTCTAAGCCTTCTCTTTCCCAGGCTAAACATACCCAACTCTTTCAGCCTTTCCTCATAAGACTTGGGTTCCAACCCTCTCACCATCCTGGTTACCCTCTTCTGGACACACATGAGCTTGTCAACATCCTTCCTAAAATGTGGTGCCCAAAACTGGACACAGGACTCCAGGTGAGGCCTGACCATAGCAAAATAGAGTGGAACTACCACCTCCCTTGATCTGGACACAGTGCTTCTGTTAATGCATCCTAAGATTGCAGTAGCTTTCTTTGTAGCCACATCGCACTGCAGGCTCATGTTTAGCTTGTGATCAACCAGAACACCCAGATCCCTTTCACATGTGCTGCTGTCAAGCCAAGTGCCTCCCATTCTATATCTGTGCCTTTGATTTTTTGTACCTAAGTGTAGGACTTTGCACTTCTCTCTATTGAAATTCATTTTATCTGTCTCAGCCCACTGTTCCAGCCTATCTAGATCATTTTGACTCTGTCTTCTTCAGAATTAGCAATCCCACCCAGCTTCGTGTCATCTGCAAATTTGATAAGCATCTCCTTTATGTCTTCCTCTAGGTCATTTATAAAAACATTGAACAACACCGGGCCGAGGACCGAGCCCTGCGGCACTCCACTCGATACTTCCCTCCACGTAGATGCAGAGCCATTTACGAACACACGTTGGGTACGATTTCTCAACCAACCATGAATCCATTCTGAAGAATCATAGAACTCAGACTGGCAGCAGCTCTCCGGGATATCAGGTAGAGATCTTGCGTATCACCTACAGCCTGGTCCTTTTGACTGCAGATGCTGGGGGTTGAACCTGGTATCTTCTGCATGCCAAGCAGATGCTCCACCACTGAACCACAGCCTCTCCCCAACATCTGAGTCAAACTCTTAAAACAATGAGCAAAGATTATCTTTGATGCTTTTTTGAAAAGCTTTTAGTCCTTAAGGCAATCAAAACCAGTTGTGTGTATGTACTACCTTATTTGTATTCACAGTATGGTTCAGTGTTACTTGTTAAAAGTTACATAAATAAAAATTGCTAACTGATCTACAAAAAACAAAACAAAACACAGTTGTGTGTAGGGCGGTCCACAGATAAGGGCCATGGTGTTGGGGAGGGTTTTAACCTCCCCCCCAGTATTATATCCTTTACAGAACTCTCTCTTATGCTGCTTTAATGGAGAGGAAAAGACAGATACTTTAATGACAGCTGTCTATCCAAGGGAGAGGTGAGGATGAAGATTTTCATTGGAGGGGAATATAGTTCATCCATCTCCCTCCCGCCCTCCCTCCTGGGGTTGTAGTTGCTTTGTAATATGAAAAATCCAAACAAAACTGATGATCTGATCATGCATCTCCCATACAGTCTGTACTTTGGCCCCTAGCCTGTATGGTTTTAAATTCATCTGGCTGCAATCGAACTGCTGACTCATTCTGCTGTTCCAGCCAGTTTGGTTACATTTGAATCCACTGCTGCTAATAACTGTATTATTGACTTTCATTGCTTTTGTTTTTATAACTTTAAAATTGTTTTTCATCCTTGTACCTTGGAGGCTACACATACCAAGAAGGCAGCGTAACTATTTCATTTGGTTTGTTACTGGATTAAAAGAATCTTTTTTTGGGGGGGGGGGTAATCTACGCAAAAAAATTTTTTTTAAGGTGATGCATAATTATCACCATCACCACCACCACCTCTGGTTAAAGCATCTCCATTGACTGAGGGGCTTTATCTTTTACAAACTGTATTATCGCCGGCTTCTAGGATAAGGAATGTTTTATGGGTATTATTTTAGGCCACTGAATAACGTTTTATGTCGTTTTTATGCCCCCCCCAGCTTGTTTTTATGGCTTCTTTTAATACTGATAATTTTAACTTTTGTTTGTTTGTTTGTAAGCTGCTGCGAGTATCTGTCTAAAAAGGAGGTAAATATCCCACCACCCCCTCGGTCACCTCTACAAAAATGTTTGCATACCTCCAACGTTTGACACCCGAAAGGCTTCTTGGTTCTTTGGTGCTTTCGATTTCTGGTTTCGGGGCTTGCCTCCTGCAGACCGAATACTACGGAGATGGACCTCGGTGGCTTTGAAAAAGGCGACAGTGAACGGCTGCTTGTTTTGTGGGCCGTGCCTTCCGATAAGGCCAGCTAACTTGGGGTTGATGCTTTGACCTAAAGAGTGAGGGGGAAGGGAGGTTAGATCCAAATACGAATTTTATGGCTTGCCAGTTATACTAGGAATTGCAGGAGCCAGCCAGACTGAGTGGCTGGCAACTCATGTGCAGAAGTTCCCACAGCTTTCCATATGGCAGTGGAGGAACTGGGCCTTGAAAAATAATGATACTTTTTCTTGCAAGGAATGGCCCATTGCAACCGATTTTGTTTTGCGTCTCACGGTGTAACAGCCGAAGCAAATGCTTCTGTCGAAATCTTAAGATTTCCCTGCATTCTTGAGAGGGGTTTCTTTGAGTTCACCAACCTATAATTTGATGGGATCCTGTAAAAAGGAACCATAAAACCAAACCCAGAGGAACACTAAATTCTCATTGGAAGGTTATGAGCCTAAAATAAAATGCCTCAGCTTCAATAAAAGTTGATGCTGCTCCAGATAGATTGTATTGGAGAAGAGGCAATAGTTTCATTCTTCTGAGCAGGGCTGCCAACCTCCAGGTGGTGACTGGAGATCTCATTGGATTAGAATTGATCTCCAGGCGACAAAGATCAGCTCCAGCCTGGATTGCGCGTTCAACATTTTTCATGACTTTCGCAACGGCTTTGCATTTACATGGCACTTTCTGCATCCTCCCCCCCTTACCACCTATATGGCCAGTTTCTTCATACCTTCCCATGCATCTGATGAAGAGAGCTGTGTTTCTCGAAAGCTTAGGCTACTATGAAGTTTGTTAGTCTTAAAGGTGCTACTGGTTTTTTTTACTATCCTGGAGAAAGTGGCTGCTCTGGAAGGTGGACTCTATGGCATTATACTCCATGGAAGTCCCTCCTCTCCCCAAACCCCACCCTCCTCAGGCTCCATCCCCCAAATTTCCAGGTATTTCTGAACCCGGAGCTGGCAACCCTACTTCTGGGAGGTTTGGATGACTGATGGCACCTTCCATACTTCACGAATTTGAGTACGACTTGGCCAATTCTGTAAGGGTCAGGCCATATCTAATTCAGACCGAAATTTGTTCTCCATCCCAAGGTTCTCTGGGAGCAGATGGCTGAGCAGGATACCCAGAGCCGAAGCCACAGTAATGGCACCGTTTTAGCAAAAGTGCAGCAGGCCAAAAAAACCAAAAAGCTACTCTGTTGACTCAGGGGAGGGTAGAAGGCCGGGTTTCAATCATTTATTCCAGGGCTTAGTGACCTGGGGCTGGTCATACACTTTCAGTCTAACCTACCTCCCCATTGTCCTCACTGTTGACCTCAGTCTAACCTACCTCACAAATGGAGGGGAGGAGAACAATAGAAGATGCTTTGCATCCCCACTTGGGACGAAGGTGGAGTATATATGAAATAAGTAAATAAATCCGTCTTCAGTGAAAAAACATCTGCATTAACTTAAAGGAAGACAACATCCCCATGTTCCAAGAGAAACCACTGATAGGCCAAAAAAATGCACAATATTAAACCCACGTCCCTCTACAGTTGCCAACTCTAGGCTGGGACATATCTGGAAATTTTGTGGGTGGAGCCGGGGGAGGGAAGGGCTCGGGGAGGGGAGGAACCTCAGCAGGCTTTGCAGGGGTCGTTTCGTAGAAAAAGAGCTAGGGGAACTCATTAGCATAACTCATTAGCATATGCCACACCCCCTGACATCAGGGGCCCGGAGGTGGACCTGCAAGGCCGGTGGGAGTGCGAGGAAGCCCCGCCAAGGCCCTCCCTGGCCCCAGGCAGGCAGGGGTGGGGAGAGGCGGGGAGGAAGCAACTTACCCTCCCTCTTCTCCTGCCTCCTCCTGGCTGAATGAGGGCCGGAAGCGGGGTGGCCGGGAGCAGGGGGCGAGGCTTCGTCGTGTGCCCCGCCCCCGCACCTCACCCTGGGGAACTGCGTTTCCCCGCGATCCCCCCCGAAATGACCTCTGAGGCTATGTCATAGAGTCCACCCCTTCAAAGCAGCCATTTTATTCAGGGGAATTGATTTCTGTCACTTGGAGATCAACTGTAATAGTGGGAGATTGCCAGCCACCACCTGGAGGTTGGTAGTCCTAGACTCAACGAAGCATGTCCTTTGTTCAGACGAAAAGCAGGATCCAAGCTCTCTAGCAGCTATCTTCAGCCTGTGAGGCATTTTAGGCTACAATCCCAAAAAGGCACACCTCCTTGGGTGCAAGTCCTACTGAATGCAATGGGCCAAAGCAAACACGCTGAGGCTTGGACTTGTCTGCAATGAGACAAACAGGATACAAAGCAATTCGCAGGAGGCTGACTAAACTCCCTGTGTATACTGCTGCTCCAATATATTGTCAGGGGGGGGAGCATTACAGGGCTTACAAGATGACGGACTGCCTAAGGCGTAGTGAATTACTTCAGTCCTCTCTCGCATTGCTTCATTTTATCCAAACTTTGTAAGAGTAAACAAATAGCCTAATCCCCTTTTCCTGCTATCCTTGCGGGATCGACTTGGCCTTCACACAAAGGAATGGGAATGCCCATTAAATATGAACTAATCCCTTTCATATAATGTCAAGCAACAGTTCGAAACAGCTCACGGCTGGTCCTGGTCCTCATGGTGTCAAATGGGAGGGACACCAAGGGCTGCCCCCCCCCTTTCCCAAAGCTATACATTCCCATCTGCCCTTATTCCTGGCTCATGCTATGACTCTCCAATGCCCCTTCTTCATCCTCCTGGTTTTCATTCCCTTGAACCTTACGGGGCAGGGGGAAGGGAAGTCAGTCTCTGGGAACTTCCTGAGCCCCCAAGATAGACAAGGCCTTCAGAATGTTGCTAAGCAACTGCAAGGTAGGTTCGGAAACAGCCTGGAAGAAAGAGGCATATTTAATTGCAAAAGAGAAAATCCCTCAGATATCAGAGGATTAGTCAAAGGAAGTTGATAGGTGTGCTAGAATGGTATCCCTTCAGAAGATTCTCCTCCCTCAACAACAGCAGCAACAAAAAATCTAAAACAAAGGCTGAAAGTAAATGTAGTTCAAAGAATAAGGAACGGGGAGATACAGCCCAGGCCAAAATGATGCCAGCGTGGTTAAACTGCACAATCAAGGAGACGATAAATGGCAAAAAGGCTTCCTTTAAAAAGTGGAGGCCTTGTTTAAATACAAAAAAAAACCCCCAAAATGTTCTGGCATAGCAAATGTAAATTTACCATAACACAAACAGAGAAGAAATGTGAAAAATCAAATTGGCTGCAGATATTTTAAGCTACATAAGAAGCAAAAAACAAGAAGGGTTGCCAGGTCCCTCCAAGTCCCCAGTGGGGGACTCTGGGGGCGTTACTGGAGGGGGAGGGGACGTCCCCAACGTGATGACGTCACGCATAAGTGACGTCATCACATTGGAAACCCCCTGGGGGACCGGGGGATCTGGCAACTCTAAAAACAAACCAGAGTGATAATGGAAGTTAGAAAAAGAACAGGAAAACGACTAGGTAGTTGAAGAGAAATATAACTATTTGCCTTTTGTCTTCACTGCAATGTTTCAGCTTTGAAAGTAAAGTTCAAATTAGCATGCTAATGGGGCTGGATGGCATTTCCCTGTTGTTGCTTCTTTTTTTTCTAAAGAACTGAAGTGTAAAACCGTTAGATCTTTTAATTATAATACATAACCAATCACTAAATGCAGTTCCATTCCCAGGCAACTGGAAGACTGCCAATGTAACATGGGTCTGTAACCACCATAAGTGTTTCTGGAGTACACTGGTTCAATATTAAAGGGAGGGTGTCAAAGAGGATTTATACACACACACACACACACACACACACACTGGACTCTCTTTCCAGCCCCAGGTGTAGTTCCAGTCTTACCTAGCACTATCTCAGAGACTTCCGGGGTATTCTCCATTTCCTGGAGGGAGGGATATCCGGTGGCTGCAGGACACAACTTTTAGTTCCGTCAGCACCAGGAAGAGAAAAAGGAATACAAGAGAGCCTCACTGCGTTTCTTCTACAGCCACCAGGCACCCCTTTCACTAGAAAATGAGAAAAAGTCAGAGAGGCCCTACAACAGCTTCTCTACAATCATCTCCCTTTATTGATTGGAGGGGTGGTGTAACTATAATGGGGAAAGGTGTAAGAAATGGAGTCTGGGTTCAAATGAACTCAAACTCCAAGCTCATTTTACTGTTTCAAGTGCTGCTCTGAGAGTAGGGTTGCCAGATCCCCCCCCCCGGATGGGGGTAGGGATTCCCCACCGCCAGGACTCACTGCCCCACTACCAATCAGCTGGCCAGCCGGGGGAGGGGGGACTTACCCAGAAAAACAGCAAGGCTGGGTTGACGTTTCAGCGACATGTCTATGTCACTTCCTACGTTACCTGGAAGTGACATCATCACTTCAGCGACGTTGGACGATGCTCTGGTATTTCGCCAAAAACTCTATGGCAGAAGCCAAATTTACCATAGAGGTTTTGCCCAAATACTACAGCGTCACCTGGACGTTGCAGCATGATGACATCACTTCTGGGACACATTTGAAGTTACATAGACACGTTGCTGC